AGGGAACCACCCCCTCAACTCTCAGTTCCAGTGGTTCAGGGGGTGCTGACTTCAATCAGAATCCAGCTTGGGCTGGTAATCAAGCCTGGATGATCAGAGAATTAAATGCCCTTCAGTACAACAACTGGATTCAATGGTGTATGCGTGACCCAAGACATGGGCCTATGATTCAATTCTGGGACTTCTGTGCATGCACTAAAGTCAAGTCAGCTGGGCACAGTGGCTCACACCTGTAATCTCAGCAATTTGGGAGGCTGAGGCAGGTGGATCATCTAAGGTCAGGAGTTTGAGACCAGCCTGACCAACATGGTGAAACCCTGTCTCTAGTGAAAATACAAAAATTAGCTGGGTGTGGTGGTGCACACCTGTGATCCCAGCTACTGGGGAGAATGAGGCAGGATAATCACTTGAACCTGGGAGGTGGAGGTTAAAGTGAGCCAAGATTGCGCCACTGCACTCCAGCCATGGCAATAGAGCAAGACTCCATCTCAATAAATGAATAAAGTCAAGTTGGCTGGGCACGGTGGATCATGGCTGTAATTCCAAGTCTTTGAGAAGCCGAGGCAGGCAAATTGCCTTAGCTCAGGAGTTCCAGGCTAGTCGGGAATTTCTGGAGTGAGCCACCGTTCCTGGTGGATTTTTCTTTTTTTTAATTGAGCCAACAAAGTCCTTGGTTTTACTTATTCCAGATGGGTTTTCTGTTGCTCACACCTTGAATGATCTAGAATAAATGAGAAAATAAAAAGTTCTAAATCCCCAATTATTTATTTGGCCTTGCTTAAAGTTACAACTAGAGCTCAAACTTTTAATAGTAGGAACTTGAGAGAATAACATTTTCTATTGGCACAATTGCTTTGAGGATACAAAGCACTAAGCTATCCAGTAACATTTTGTCATAAGAAAGCAAGTTGGAAAGACATTCAATGACACCGAGAATACAAATATTATTAGCAGATTGGGGAAATTATTTCCTGATTTAAACATTGTGTATCTGATCATTGTGAATGGATTTCCGCTTGCTAGAAGTTCTCCTGGTGCATCCTGATTGTAAACTAATGGTTTATGGTTCTACAACTCCTGACTTGGAGCCTATGTACTTGCTACTTGCTTTATTCATTTGTTGCGGGAAACTGAATTTGAACTCACTTATCACTCTTGGAATAGTGAAACCAGAAACTATTATGTAACTTCATTGATCCTGTCATAATTGACTCAACTGGCATAAAAGATCAGATCCTCTTAGAGTTAGGAAAACCACTTTTGTTCTTGCATACATTATGCAAGTAGAAACAATTATAAAATAGTGAGATTTATTTTTACCTTTTTCAATTGACTTCTTTGGTCTTGTCTTCCATTTAACTATATGACGAATGCAAGACGGATTATAATCATCGTAACTTGAGAGACAAGAAAAAGGTAAGGAGAGAGAGAGAGCAGGAATCCAGTGGCAAAACAGAGCAGATTGAATGCAGTGCTTTGGTAATCAACAAGAACTCACATCCTCGCCAGCCTGACCTGACCTCTCCGCCTTGGCTCTCACCCAGGTGTTGCTCTCTGCATGTAATTGAAAGTAATGAAGCTACATGTGTCTAAACTCTCAATTAATTGTTCTGTGAATTCCAAGTCAATCTGGAAGATGTTAGTGTATTTTATTATTCCTAATGGGACTCCTCTATTAAGTAATTCAAGGTAATTTACATCTTGTATACAGTTAAGTGTCACTGCATTTCCATTGGTGGCAATAAATAACCACTGGAATATATGTAATAACTATGAAGGGCTGGTAGTAGTATTCAGCATCCACACTTCACTGCTTTTTTGATGTGCTTTGTTTTTCTATGCTATACGGATGTGTGTTTTTGTTTGGTATTATGATTACTAAAGGCTGTTTTCGTATATCAGATTATGAGAAAGATCAGTCTATTAAACTGACCACATTAAACACAATGTGTGAATAACTTATGCTACTGTGGTAGAGTTGTATTTTAGGAATGCATTTAAGGATGCAATTTCCCAGAAGAAAAAAAATGGTCAGTAAAAAATATGAGGCTGCTTAATGTTACCCTCAGTAAATTGTGCAGTAGTCAATAGCCCCATAAGAAACTCATGGCCATGGCCGGGGCACGGTGGCTCATACCTGTAATCCCAGCACTCTGAGAGGCCAAGGTGGATGGATCACGTGAGTTTGAGACCAGCCTGACCAACATGGTGAAACCCTGTCTCTACTAAACACACACACACACACACAAAGAAAAAAAAAAGAAAGAAAGAAACTTATGGCCAGCTAATACCAGGTAGAGATTACTTATCTTTATTTCAGTGGTTCTGAAGATGTTCTGAATCCTGAAGCAATGAGAGTTGGTTCTCTTACAACTGTTTGGGGCATTTGTGACTTGGAAATGAGGCGGCAGTGCTCACAGGGCATGCTTTAAGAACTTACAGTGGCTGGTTATGCTGGAAGAAAACAGGGGAGCAGGCTAACTCCAGATGCCCAGTGGGAAGACGACAGGCCCTTCTCTCACATGGTCATGATTCCTTGGTTTTGTGGTTTGGTGAGCAGTTTAAAGATACCAAAGATAACTTCAGCTTGAAGCAGGGCTTCTCAAAGTATGGTCTCTGGTGCATGGAGTGATTCTGGTTCATTGAGATAAATTTACTATTTTTACAAAAAAAAAATTTACTATTTTTACTAAATTTTACATGAAATGTACTATTTTTACAATTTTAAAGTGTATAACTCAGTGACATTTACTAAATTTACAATTTTGTGCAACCACCTCCACTATCTTGTTCCAGAACACTTCATCGCCCCACAGGAAACTCCCAGGCCCATTAAGCAGTTACTTTCCAACACTCCCGACCCCCAGGCCTGGCAACCACCAATCTGCTTTCTGTCTCTATAGATTCTGGACATTTCATATAAATGGAATCATACAACGTGTGGCCCTTATTGTCTGTCTTTCACTTGGCACTACGTTTTCAAGGTTCATCCATGTTGTAACAAGTAATGACCAAATAACACTTTTTTGTACCACATTTTATTTATCCATTCATCGGGTGACACATATTTTAGTTGTTTCTGCCTTTTGGCTATTGTGAGTAGTGCTGCTGTGAATATGCATATACAAGTTTTGGTTTGAACACTTGCTTTTAATTCTTTTGGGTAGAAAGTATAGGCATTAATCTTTGCTCACTCAAAAGGAGGTGACCAAATATCTTAAATTCTTCAATCATTCAACAAATATTTACTGAAAACCTACTCTATAGCTGTCTAGAACTCCAAGCACTGGGAATACATACTGCAATGAATAAGACAGGCATCATCCCTGTCCTCCTTGGGAATAAAACAGAATTCAGTAAGTGAGTCAAACACAGACTTTGCCGCGTTTAGGATTAGGAATTCCTTTTCTATTTGCTATTAAAGGAAAGTAAAAGCTGGTCACAGAGCACCTGGCAAGATGCTCTAACTGGATGCTTTCAGATGAAACAAGCAAACACAACTAAGCGCAATCAATCTGTTATCTTACATCATAAGCCTCAAGCTGGGAGGTTCCCAAGTGGGTCCAGTCAGCAGCTTAACATCATCAAGGATCTAGGCTTTCTCCATCCTGCTCTGCCATCCTCATGGCCACACTAAGGAACAGCCAACCTCAGGCATCATATCTTCTTATGGAACAAGGACCAGGGAACGGAGGTGGGGCAGATCCCTTCTCAATCCCTTCTTAGGTGCAAGAAAAACTTCCCCAGAATACTTCTCTTCAGATCTGTTCTGCCTGATTTGCCCCACAGCCTATTCCTAAGCCAATTATTGGCAAGGAATTGGAATCAGGTGCAGTGAATTATAATCAAGTTGGAGGCTGGAAGGGGCCTGCTTCCCCTGGGGAATATGATGCCTGACCATAATACAGGCCCTGGAAAAATGTAAGAGGGAAAGAATGGCTGTAGGATAGGCAGCCAAGCGTAGCTCCACTGGTGCCTATGCAAGATTTCCTGGAGGAAGTCCAGTCCAGCGTTCTCTAAGCTCCAGGCCTCAACTGAACATCTCAAAAGAAAACAAATATCCAAACCTCAACGTGTCCAAAACTGAATTCATGATTCTCGTTAAAGCAGTGTCTTCCAATGGTGACTAATACTACCATTCAGATGCTGGAGCCAGGAAAATAAGAGTCACCATATCTTCTTCCTCATCACCACATCTAGCACATCACCAAGTCTTTGAACCCATCTACTCTCTTCACCTCCACCGCCACCATCCTAATCCCAGTCATTATCAACTCTTCCCTGGAGCTTTGCAACAGTCACGTTTGGCTTCCCAGCATCCATTTGTATTTCCCTCCAAACTATTAGTTCACAGTGCAGGTAGGGTGGCCTTTTCAAACCCAAATCCGCTCATGCTCAAAACTTGCTTCCCACGGCTCTTAGAGACCACTTTGAGCTTGAACAGACTGTGCACATCCCACCTCAAGACTGCTGCACTTGCTGTTCCTCCTCCGACCCCTTGTCACCCCTCTCCCTCGGCTTAACTGTCACTTCCCAATTAGGTCAGGTCCCTTTGCTGCAGCCCGTAGAGAGCTCTGCGCCTGTCCTTCAGGGCACTTTTTCTCCATCTACAGACTCAGATCTGTGACAACACGGAGCTAGTATTTCCTACAACATCACGCCTGACACACGGTAAGTGCGCAATATGCAGCTGTTGCACGGCTAAATGTATACATAAGCTTCAAAGCAGAGTGGCCGATAGCAAATACAGACGCAGTCACGGGAGAAGGCACACACCGCCGAGACACCACCGCCACTCCGCGCCGCCTGGACCAGCCAGTAGCTCCGCCCCTGGGCCCCGCCCCTCCCTGCTGAGCGGAGGGGGCGGGGCTCAGAGGTCGCGTGACGTGACAGCAGCCGGTCGGTGATTGGGTCTCCAGGCGCGCCGTCTCGGGAAGGGGGCGTGCCCGCGCGCGCTGATTGGCTGTCTGGCGCGGTGGGGAGGCAGCGGCGGCGCCGCGGGGGCGGGCGGCGGGAGGGGCCGGACCGGGTAGGGCCCGGAGGGCGGCGGCGGCGGCGGAGCGGGCGGCATGGGTCCTCGCCGCCGGCTTCGCTGAGACGCGCTCGCGTGGGCTGCCCTCCCGGGCCCGCAGTGGTCGCGGCGGCATGAAGGGCGCCCTGGGGAGCCCCGTGGCCGCCGCCGGCGCCGCGATGCAGGAGAGTTTCGGCTGCGTGGTGGCCAACCGCTTCCATCAGCTGCTGGACGACGAGTCGGACCCGTTCGACATCCTGCGCGAGGCCGAGCGCCGGCGCCAGCAGCAGCTGCAGCGCAAGAGGCGCGACGAGGCGGCGGCGGCGGCGGCCGGGGCCGGTCCCCGCGGCGGCAGGAGCCCGGCCGGGGCCTCGGGCCACAGAGCCGGCGCGGGCGGCCGGAGGGAGTCGCAGAAGGAGCGCAAGAGCCTCCCGGCGCCCGTCGCTCAGCGTCCCGACAGCCCCGGGGGCGGCCTGCAGGCGCCGGGTACGCGGGGACGGCGGGGGTAGCGGGCCACGGCTCGCCCTGCGGTGGGACTGGGGTCCCGGGGGCCGGCTCCAGGAGTGGGGAGCCGGGAGAGTTGAGGGTCCCGGTGGCCGCCGAAGGCAGGAGGAGAGGGGCAGGGGTCACACCCCTTCCAACCCTCGCCGGCCGCGTGCGGGGCTCCGGGGGAAACGCTGGCTTGGTGGGGGTGGGGCCCCCGAACCCTGGCTCGGAGCCGCTACGGCAAGTTGGACGAAGTTGAGGGAGGTTGCCTGGGTGGCGTGTGGGGGCGAACGCTGCGGTCGCTACTCCGGGACTCCCGCATCCAGACCTGGCGGGGACCTTCTCCAGCCTCCAGCCCCGCCTCTGCGGGATTGAGGTCGGAGCCACCCGAGAGCGCGGTGAGGAGGAGGAGGGCGCCTGGTCCCGGGGCTGGGGGCCTCTGTGATGCGGGCGGCCTGGGCGACCGCGGGGCGGCCTGTGACGTCGGGGCCCGGGCGCGGGTCCTCGGCGCTGTCCGGCCTGGCGCCTTCGCCCCTTCCCCGTCCAGTAGCTTCCAGCAGGCAGCGGGCATCGTATTTCAGTACTTCTTGTGGTGCTGATGGGATGTGCAACTTATAAATAGCTCCAGGCTGCTTTAAGAAAAGCGTTTTTAACCTTCCCAGCCAGAATATTCGGAGTTCCCCACTCCCTGTTTAGCAAGAAAAGCCAGTGCGCAGCGTGGTGTCCTGCTGCCTGCGGACAGGGAGGGTGCTTCAGAGTTGATGCTCTCACCTGAACTGCGTCAGTGGCAGAGCCAGCAACGCTCCACCTGTGTTTCCTCTGTTTTCTTGAAATGAGGCAGCGGTCCCAAGGTTTGCAGAGCGTTAGGAGTGAGATGTGTAGATTGACCATTCCTGCCAACGCTTGGCGGAGTGTGCAGCGCGGCTTGCTGGTTTGTTCCTTGCTTGATAAAAATTGTGCAGCGCAGCCCTGAGGAAACGTCTCAGGTTTCAGTATTGGGGCTTTGATGCGCAGCTGGGTAATGTTTACCTTTGTTTGTGAAAAGTTAAATCCAGAGTCATCACTTGTGAGAATCAAGTCACTACAATAAAGATGTTGAAAATGATTAAAAAAAAAAAAAGTTATTGACTGTCTCACGAGCCTTCGATAGGCCAGTAAATTTCTGAGCCTATCTAAACAGACTGGAGATACGTTGTGCATTTTATATCCTGTTTTTTATGTTTTTCTCTTAAATTTATTTACATGAATATAATAAAAGAATTGAGGAAGGCTAAGCTTTTCTTCACCCTTTATTTTTTCACAAATGAAAATGCTGGGCGCGGTGGCTCACGCCTGTAATCCCAGCACTTTGGGAGACCAAGATGGGCGGACCGCGAGGTCAGGAGATCGAGACTATCCTGGCTAACACGGTGAAACCCCGTTTCTATTAAAAATACAAAAAATTAGCCGGGCGCAGTGGCGGGCACCTGTAGTACCAGCTACTCGGGAGGCTGAGGCAGGAGAATGGCTTGAACCCGGGAGGCAGAGCTTGCAGTGAGTCGAGATCACGCCACTGCACTCCAGCCTGGCGATAGAGGGAGACTCCGTCTCAAAAAAAAAAAAAAAGTATTCTGTTCTTCAGAAAAACGTGAGACGAGTTAGTGCTGTTAATACATTTATTTTTAGCTTTTTAAAAATTGTCATGCATTTTTGTGTTAAAAATTTTAAGCAATTCCAAAATATATGAGGTTAAGTGAAAATCCTCTTATTTTTCCTACTATTAACACTTTTCATTTATATACATAAATGCACAGAACTGTTTCTTTTCTTTCTAAACTTAAGTGATATAAACTGGGTTGCAACCTGTTTCCTGCACTTAATGTCATGTAGTACACTCATAACTTTTTTTTTCTGTCAATTGTTCAGTCTAAGTGATCTGGCTTTTGAAATCAACTAAAGGTATTTAGTTGATTTTGTAGTTAGAATGGAAATTTTATCATTCAAGTTCTTTTTCAAGTATGTGTTATTTCAGGAGCAAACAGCTCATTAATTTCCATTTATGTAGTTACTGTACTAAATTTATCTATAATGGGTGTCAAAGAGCTATTCTCTCAAGGTTTTATAGCCCTAGTTGATATGAAGCACTGTACTTTTCTAACATATAAAATTTTTGATTTAGTTAGAATGTTGTAAGTGAATGCTTAGCATAGACAAAAATAAAACATGTTTGACATATCATAGAAATGTTAATCCTGAAAGAATGTGGAAGTCACAAGCTTTTCCTATGGAAAAGGGTTGGGTTTTTTTGTTTGTTTTTTTGAGACAGAGTCTTGCTCTGTCGCCCAGGCTGGAGTGCAGTGGCATGATCTTGGCTCACTACAACTACCTTCTGGGTTCAAGCGATTCTCCTGCCTCAGCCTCCTGAGCAGCTGGGGCTGCAGGCGCGCGCCACCATGCCCAGCTAATTTTTGTATATTTTTTACTAGAGGCAGGGGTTCACCATGTTGGCCAGGATAGTCTCGATCTCTTGACCTCATGATCTGCCTGCCTTGGCCTCCCAAAGTGCTGGGATTACAGATGTGAGCCACCGTGCCTGGCCTAGTTTTTTATATTTTTAGTAGAGATGGGGTTTCACCATGTTGTCCAGGCTGGTCTTAAACTCCTGACTTCAGGTGATCCGCCTGTCTCAGCCTCCCAAAGTGCAGGTGTGAGCCACGATGCCCGACCAAAAATGTAGATTTTTTAATGTCTAACTATCTGTCTAGCAATATATATAAACCCTTGGGTGAGCCTTGCTCAATAAGTTCATTTTTTTTTTTTTTTTTTTTTTTAAGACGGAGTCTGGCTCTGTCGCCCAGGCTGGAGTGCAGTGGCCGGATCTCAGCTCACTGCAAGCTCCGCCTCCCGGGTTTACGCCATTCTCCTGCCTCAGCCTCCCGAGTAGCTGGGATTACAGACGCCCGCCACCTCGCCCGGCTAGTTTTTTGTATTTTTTAGTAGAGACGGGGTTTCACCGTGTTAGCCAGGATGGTCTCGATCTCCTGACCTCGTGATCCGCCCATCTCGGCCTCCCAAAGTGCTGGGATTACAGGCTTGAGCCACCGCGCCCGGCCTAATAAGTTCATTCTTAAAGTCATGAGAGGCTGTTTCAGTTTTGGTTTTTCTAGCCTTTCAGAATTATGTTCTTTGAAACAGCTCAACTTTATTTTGTGGGAAATCTGACTGTAAATTTTATTGTATTCTGTTTCTTTACCTGGGCTTGGTTTAGATGGTGATGAATGCAAGTGCCAGCCTTTTCTTGGCGAGGCTAGTGAAATGCAGTGCTTGCATTCTCCACTTGGAGCTGCTGATCCAGCACCGAAAAGCCCGATTCGTGGCAGTGTTGATCTTTTAGTACTAAATTGTGGGGAAAAAATTGGATGCTGATTATCTTTGTTTTGGGAGGGTTGGGAGGGAAAATGAGATGTTTGCCCAAAACTGATAATTATTCTAATTATCTTTGTTTTGGGGGGCTTGAGAGGGAAAATGAAATGTTTGCTTGATATTGATAATTATTCTAATAAGTAGCCCATTGTACTTAACAGTTTTCAGTTTATACTGTTCGAAAAGGCTTTAATATGGTGTACAGTAAATGTCCTATTTTAAGTTTGATGAATTGCAAATTTAATTGACACAATTAAAAAGTAACTTGGAGGAAGCAGAAAGGTGGGATAAGCACCTATAAGTAGTTCTGTAGTCGAGTGGAGATAGTAAAAGATGTTTTTAAAACTATGGGTTGGAAATAGGAAATCCGAAACTATGTTAACTCTTTTTACACTGATGTAAAAGTATGGAAAAGTTTTGTTACTGCTGACAAATTTTCTGATGACTGTTATGTCATGATCTATTATAATTTTCAGCTTGTTGGATAATTAACTTTCATAGTGGCTTTTTCTACCTTACGTTTTGAACGCCTTTTCCAGTTCTGAACTCTTTTTTATTTTTGTTTTTTATTTTGTTTTTGGGGGACAGGTCTCCCTCTGTCCCCCAGGCTGGAGTGCAGTGGCATGATCTGGGCTCACTGTGAGCTCCACCTCCTGAGTTCAGCTATTCTCCTGTCTCAGCCTGCTGAGTAGCTGGAACTACAGGCATCTGCCTCCGCGCCCAGCTAGTTTTTTGTATTTTTAGTAGAGACGGGATTTCACCACATTAGCCAGGATGGTCTCAATCTCCTGACCTGTAATCCCAGCACTTTGGGAGGCTGAGGTAGGCGGATCACAAGGTCAGGAGATCAAGACCATCCTGGCTAACCCAGTGAAACCCCATCTCTACTAAAAATACAAAAAATTAACTGGGAGTGGTGGCGGGCACCTGTAGTCCTAGCTACTTGGGAGGTCGCGCCACTGCACTCTAGACTGGGCGACAGAGCGAGACTCAGTCTCAAAAAAAAAAAAAAATTATATATATCCATTAACTTGAATAAATGGCATATTTTATAGCTATACAACTAATGTGGAGAGTAATTTGTTCCAAGAAAAATTGAAGCTACTTTAGTAAAAGTTGCACATAGTGAGAGGAGATCTTTTAAATGTATACAAAAAAAGATAGACTTTTTTTGAAGAGTAAAGACGTGACAAAGATCCACAATGTATTTACCAAGTATTAGATGGCTTCAAACATAGACTTTGCCTAAGATGTTTAAAACATTAAAACTAAAGAGGAGTAAAGCAAGGTGACAGTATAGAGGAAAAGACCAGAGTCTCGGCCGGGCGCGGTGGCTCTTGCCTGTAATCCTGGCACTTTGGGAAGCCGAAGAGGACGGATCACCTGAGGTCGGGAGTTAGAGACCAGCCTGACTAACATGGAGAAACCTCGTTTCTACTAAAAATACATTAGCTGGGTGTGGTGGTGCATGCCTGTGATCCCAGCTAATCTCTACCCGGGAGGTGGAGGTTGCGGTGGGCCGAGATTGGGCCATTGCACTCCAACCTGGGCAACAAGAGTGAAACTCAGTCTCAAAAAAAAAAAAAAAAAACCCAAGAATAAAACCAGAGTCTCTGGTCCCAGCCCAGTGTCCAAGTGCTGGACTCTGAGTGGACAAAGAGATGCCCTCAGGTACTGACTGACTCTTGGGCAAGTTGCCAACTAGCAGTGTTTGGTTCATATTCAGTAAGTTATCACTGCAGGTCTATATATCATAGAATAGCAGGAAAATCTGTTTTCAAAGTAAAAATATAAGCACTATAAACTTTAAAAGCAAAAACTTTGGCCGGGTGTGGTGGCTCACGCCTGTAATCCCAGAGCTTCAGGAGGCTGAGGTGGGTGAACTGCTTGAAGCTAGGAGTTCGAGACCAGCCTGGCCAACATGGTGAAACCCTGTCCCTACTAAAAATGCAAAAATTAGCTGGGCATGGTGGCGCATGCCTGTAATCCCAGCATCTTGGGAGGCTGATGCACGAGAATTGCTTGAGCCCAGGAGGCGGAGGTTGCAGTGAGCCGAGATTGCACACTGCACTGCACTCCGGGCTGGGTGACAGAGCGAGACTTAAGTATGTAAATAAATAAATAAATAAAATAAAAAATTAAAAACAAAAACCTTAGTAGCCGGTGATAAGCCATAGTTGCCATGTAATGTGCAGTTGGGATTCTGAAAGCATAGTCTGAAATACAGGGTGTTCTTTCATTTTCTCGATAGGGCTTACACACTGTGTTTTTGTAAGACTGCTTTTGTCAACTGTAGCTTTTTTAGTAAAATATACCCATGGCTGTCACGGTTATTGGGAGGGGCCTGTAATTATAGGTGAGCTTAGTTTGTCGTATACTTTCTAGGATATAGGGAAAGCATGCTTTAATAGTAACATTCGATTAAAAAGTCGTAGACTGTGGGCAGTTGTAGCATCAGCAACTTTTTTCTTTGAGGTTTTCTAAACTTCCTGAATTTTCCTATGACGTTGATTTCTAGAAAAATGAAATTTACAAGTACCTGTAAAGTTGAATACTGTGCTGTTGCAGATGCTGTGTTCCAACTCTGCTTTGATTTTCTGTTGGTAGGTCAGAAGCGGACTCCTAGAAGAGGGGAGCAGCAAGGATGGAATGATAGCCGTGGGCCAGAGGGGATGCTTGAAAGAGCTGAGCGGAGACCCTACAGGGAGTACCGACCCTATGAGACTGAGAGGCAGGCGGACTTCACAGCTGAGAAGTTTCCAGATGAAAAGTACGTGCTGCAGTCCTCGGCAGGGCGGGTGGGGAACCAGAAAGGTTTTTAGAAAATGCTACTTTCTTTTTTTTTTTTTTTTTTTTTTCCTGAGACAGAGTTTCACCCTTGTCGCCTAGGCTGAAGTGCAATGGCGCAATCTCTGCTCACTGCAACGTCCGCTCCCAGGTTCAAGCAATTCTCCTGCCTCAGCCTCCTGAGTAGCTGAGATTACAGGCGCCCACCACCACACCTGGCTAATTTGGTATTTTTAGTAGAGACGGGGTTTCTCCGTATTGGTCAGGCTGGTCTTGAACTCCTAACCTCAGGTGATCCGCCCGCCTTGGCCTTCCAAAGTGCTGGGATTACAGGAGTGGGCCACCATGCCTGGTCCAGAAAATGCTACTTTCTACTGGCTACTGCTTTTTGTGGTATCAGTCCTGGGAATGTTTTACTAATTTATGTGCAATTCATATTACCTTAGATGATGAGAAGGATCTTCCTTTTTCCTTTACGCCTTGGTTCAGGAAATGATTATACAATTAAAAATGAATTGCTTATTGGTAACTGAAGAGCACTCTTAAAAAGAAATTACACAGGAGGGTGTTGAACTGGTAAAGTTTTGTTTTGAAGTTGTAGATTAGAGATACAATTTTGGACTAGGGATATAATTATGGTTTTTGATTTTGCATTACCGATTTCGACTGCTCAATGGATTGAAGTCAGTTCCTAGCTCCATGGTCAGGTCAGTAGGCTGCCACGGTGAAATTTGAAGAAATTTGTTGTGATGTGTAATACCAGTTTCTGGTGGGCATGGCTGCTCTCAGAAGTCCCCTAACACAGACGGAAGTCGTGGGCTGGTGTAGTGTTGCGTGGCTGCTGAGTGATGCAGCAGTGTGGTGGCCGCCGCACTCCACCTGAACACAGGGAGGGGTTGTGTCTTATGCTTGGCACTAGCAGGGTGGGTACTTGCTGTTTAAAGCCTTTGTTTAATCATTTAACCTGTTTATGTTAAACAGAAACAACTAGTGAATCACATTTCAAGGAAAATTAAACAGGCTAAGGAAGGCTAGAATAGTGAACAGTGAAATGTCAAGGGAGCCATTTTTCCAAACTCTTTCTGCTTCTTGACTGCTAATTCCATTCTATTTAGGATTCTGGCTACAAGTTTTAACCAAAACATGTGGCTTTGTAAAACTATACTACAGGGCCTATTACAAACAAAACAAAACAATAGTCCAGCAGAGAGTAACTTAGCCTGGGTGGGCTGAGCAGGTGATGACTCACGCAGAACTGTTCACCTAGAAGTTACACATTCAAGACACTGAGATGGTCTATCTGCAACCATGTTGGAGGGAGAAAACTTACAGAAAGGCTTAATTTTGCCCCTTTTTTGGTGATTACTTCAGATCTGCTGTGTAGTAAGCACAGTCTACTTGCTTCTGCAAAGCTTCCTGGAGCAGAGCTGCTTATTTTCGGAAGCATTTGGGTATTTATTTTCCCCTCACTTTAGGGATTCTGTGGAAACAAAGAAATTATAGTTGACTTGCACAAACCCATGTTTCCCCCCTTTTTTCGTAGCAAGACTGTGTAGTCTTTAAAAAGGATAAAATAGATCTTTATATGTGACATGAAAAGATAGCTATTAAGTGAAATAATACGTATATGGAAGAGTAAGGTGGGATATGGAATTATGGAGGGTTTTTTTTTATTTAAATAAATTCAGAATTACAGAAGAGTTTTAAGAATTATACAAAGAATTTCCATCTGCCCTTCAAGACTCCCCACACACTAACTTTTTACCACATTTGCTTTATCATCCATGCCCTACCGCACCACACAGCCTTTTGTTGTTATTTGGGAATACGGTGTAGGAATGTCCCCTTACTCCTAAATACTTTAAACGCATTTTCTAACAACATGATACAATTTTCAAACTCATTAAAATTAATACAATACTGTTATCTAATTGTCTAAATTACTAGTCTACAGACTTTACTCAGATTTCACCAATTGTCCCAGTGATGTCTTTTAACAAAAGAGAAAACATTTCTGGTTCAGGATCCACTCCAGGCAAACGCATTGTATTTAGTCATCTTTAATTAGGAACAGCTCCTTAGCCTTCCTTGGTCTTTATGAATTTGGCATTTTGAAGAGCACGGGCCAGTTATTTTATAACATGTCTCAGATTTTGAGTTTTTCTGATGTCTCCTCATGGAACGAGATTGCGCACTTTGGGCAGGAATGCCACAGAAGGAATGTGTTCTCAGTGCGTCGCAGTACAGATACGTAGGGAATTTTCACTTTCGAGGAAATTTGAATCTTGATATCAGAAAACATTTTCTTAGTTTCTTAAATAATACTCTTAATAAATAAAACATAGAAAGCTTTATGTCTGACAAACTCACAAGCAAAAGAAGGAAAATACCATTCGAGCCAAGCATCCTGCTTTTTACCCCTGTGATTCGCTGTCTTACAACAATCCTAGCAAGTAGACATGACCCTTGTTTCACACGTGGGAAGCCTGGAGCCTGTGGAGTTAGGAATGAGGAGTTCAGTTTGGATACCAAGTTTCATTGTGAAAACATAGAAAGTTCTGGAGAAGGATGGCGACGATAGTTACACAACAATGTGAATGTACTTAATGCCACAGAACTGAGCACTTAAAAATGATTAAAATGGCAAATGTTATGGTATGTATATTTTACCACAATTTGTTTAAAGCTTGTTAATAATGGGGGGAGGGTCAACATCTGAGGGATTTTTTTTTTTTCAGAACAGGAATTGATTTTAAATGACCAGTAAACTACAGAAAGGAAGAGCCAAAATTCATCTAGACAGAGGCAGACTAATCTCCTAATAGTCTGTGTTCTAAGAGTTCAGTTAAGTTCATTTGGAGCCTAAGGAAAAATTCCTACTGCATTAAAAACAGTAGTTTACTGCTGGAATATGTGCTCCACATGATATAGCAGATCTCGGGGGTGGAGACATGCCCGCTAATCCCAGCACCGCTTATGACGTTGCTTCCTTGGGAAGAAAACATGCGCTCTGCCTAGGCAGAACAGAAGTCCATGTCAGCTGGCTGTGACAAGACTACTGTACACATTGCTGAAACTCTGGGTCTGTTTCCTCATTGAAAAATGGAGAGGGCTGAATTTAGATAATCTTTTGAGATTATGAAGATTCTATAATTCTGTCCAATAAACATGTGTAGGTATCAAAGAAACTCAAGGTGACACCCTTTTTCACTCTCAGATAAGCAAATATCAAATTGCAATTTAGCATATTCGAGCTTGGGGAAAGTGCTCTAAGAGACACTGTCGGTGATGCGGTGGCTCACGCCTGTAATCCCAGCACTTTGGGTAGGCTGAGGCAGGGAGATCACCTGAGGTCAGGAGTTCAAGACCAGCCTGGCCAACATAGTGAAACCCTGCCTCTATTAAAAATTCAAAAATTAGTGGGGTGCGCCTGTAATCCCAGTTACTCGGGAGGCTGAGGCAGGAGAATCGCTTGAACCCAGGAGGCAGAGGTTGCAGTGAACTGAGATCACACCACTGCACTCTAGCCTGTGTGACATAGTGAGATTCTGTCTCAAAAAAAAAAAAAAGAATTTATAGGTTGGGCACAGTGGCTCACACCTGAAATCCCAGCACTTTGGGAGACAGAGGCAGGCAGATCACCTGTGCTCAGGAATTCGATTCCAGCCTGACCAACATGGTGAAACCATGTCTCTACTAAAAATACAAAATTAACTGGGTGTGGTAGCACACGCCTATAATCCCAGCTAGTCTGGAGGCTGAGGCAGGAGAATTGCTTAAACCCAGGAAGTGGAGGTTGCAGTGAGCCAAGATTGCGCCACGTCACTCCAACCTGTGTGACAGGCGAGACTCTGTCTCTAAAAAAAAAAAAAAAAAAAAAGGCCGGGCGCGGTGGCTCAAGCCTGTAATCCCAGCACTTTGGGAGGCCGAGACGGGCGGATCACAAGGTCAGGAGATCGAGACCATCCTGGCTAACACGGTGAAACCCCGTCTCTACTAAAAATACAAGAAAGCCGGGCGAGGTGGCGGGCGCCTGTAGTCCCAGCTACTCAGGAGGCTGAGGCAGGAGAATGGCGTGAACCCGGGCGGGGCGGAGCTTGCAGTGAGCCGAGATCGCGCCACTGCACTCCAGCCTGGGGCACAGAGCAAGACTCCGTCTCAAAAAAAAAAAAAAAATTTGCCAGGCATGGTGGCACACGACCGTGATCTCAACCACTGAGGAGGCCGAGGCTGCAGTGAGCCAAGATTGCACCACTTCACTCCAGCCTGGGAGATAGAACGAGACTCTGTCTCAAAAAAAAAAAAAAAAAGAGTTTACTGTTGGCTGGGCACAGTGGCTCATACCCATAATCCTAGCACTTGGGAGGCCTAAGCAGGCGGATCTCTTGAACCCAGTAATTTTAGACCAGCCTGGGTGACATGGTGAAACCTGCATCTCTACAAAACGTACAAAAATTAGCCGAGTGTGGTGGCACACGCCTGTAGTCTCAGCTGCTTAGGGACTGACATGGGAAGATTGTTTGAGCCCTGGAGGTCAAGGCTGCAGTGAGCAGTGATTGGGCCACTGTACTCCAGCTTGGACAACAGGGTGAGATACTGTCTTTAAAAAAAAAAAAAAAGAAAAAAAATTACTGTTACTTTTCTCTTGTTTGTTTTAGAGCCGTACTTTAGATTTCTTTTTTTGAGGCAGGGTGTTGCTCCGTTTCCCAGGCTGGAGTGCAGTGGCAGGATCTCGGCTCACTGCACTCCTGGGCTCAAGTAATCCTCCCACCTCAGCCTCCTGAGTAGCTGAGATTACAGGCGTGCACCACCATGGCTGGCTAATTTTTACATTTTTTAGCAGAGATGGGGTTTTGCCGTGTTGCCCAAGGTGGTCTGGAACTCCTGGGCCCAAGTGATCCAACTGCGTTGGCCTCCCGAAGTGCTGGGATTACAGTCGTGAGCCACCACTCCCAGCCTGCTTTAGATTTTCTTTTTCTTCTTTTTCTTTTTTTTTTTTTAAGACAAGGTCTCGCTTTGTCGCCCGGGCTGGAGTGCAGTGGCGCCATCTCAGCTCACTGCAACCTCCGCCTCCCGGGTTCAAGCGATTCTCCTGCTGCAGCCCCCCAACTAGCTGGGATTACAGGCGTCCGCCACCAAGCCTGGCTAATTTTTGTATTTTTAGTAGAGTTGGGGTCTCACCATATTGGCCAGGCTGGTCTCAAACTCCTGACCTCAAGTGATCTGCCTGTCTTTGGCCTCCCAAAGTGCTGGGATTATAGGCGTGAGCCAACAGGCGTGAGCCACTGAGACCAGCCTGCTTTAAATATTTGCTATAGTTTAGAATCAAGAGTCAGGTTTTGCAAAGATTTCTATTTTTGGTTAGAGGAGGTGGGAGACAGAAAAGCCAACTTGGAGAATGTGTTGAGGTTGGTGTTTCTTATAAGAGACTGGTATAACATTAATGATCAGTACTTCTGTATTTCTTTATTTTTTGAGTGAGGAAGATTGTGAGTTTTGTATTTTTTTTACCTACTATTGTGTAGGGGCTTTTTTTTTTTTTTTCCCCCAGAGATGGAGTCTTGCTCTGTCGCCCAGGCTGGAGTGCAGTGGTGCGATCTCGGCTCACTGCAAGCACTGCCTCCCAGGTTCCCGCCATTCTGCCTCAGCCTCCCAAGGAGCTGGGACTACAGGCGCCCGCCACCACGTGCGGCTAATTTTTTGTATTTTTAGTAGAGACGGGATTTCACCGTGTTGGCCAGGATGGTCTCAATCTGCTGACCTCATGATCCACCTGCCTCGGCCTCCCAAAGTGCTGGGATTACAGCCGTGAGCCACTGTGCCTGGCCTAGCGGCTTCTTAATGTAACACTTTAGCCATAAAAGTAGATTGTGACATGCCCCTAGTGCTGGTGTTCGAGCCACTAATGCCATTAGGTTTCTTGATGCCAGGACGTCTATTAAAGAAGTAATTTCTTGTGATTTTAAATGTTTTTAAAAGCCTTACCAAATTAGAAAACATTTCTCTTATTAAACCAGTGTTACAATGGTGAAAAAGAGCTTAGAGCTTACTGAAGGAGAGACAGGTCCTCAGAAAGAGTGATGGTGACCAGCAACGGTGCAGGGAGGAGTGGGTGAGCAATCAGGTCCTGGCTCCAGGCTCTGATGTGGCAGAGGAAGAAGAGGGAGGGGTGGCCCGGACTCTTGCTCATGTTGTGAGTTGGGGATCACAGGAGGAATAAGGGCTCCATGTTGGGCATGTGTGTGCCTGACCTGGGGATGTCCAGGTGGAGATGTCTAGGAAGTAACTGGCTTCCTGGCCTGCAATCAGATGACAGACACAGGGCCAGTTAGCATTAGATTAGCATGGAGGCCAGGGGATGTGGTGTGAGCTGAGATCCTGCCACCGCACTCCAGCCTGGGCAACAGAGCACGGCCCTGCCTCAAAAAAAGAAATCTAAAGTAGGGTTCTCATAAAACAGACAAAAGAAAAGTGGGAGGCCAACAAGGATGAGGACAGATGGGTATCCGTGTAGAGCACCAAGACAAATGGTTAGGCACGAGAGGCAGGCGGAGAGCTCTTCTGTTCTCTGCATCTTGAATTGGCTGCGTCTGAGAAGTGGAATTGCGTGGCTGAGGAACAGTGTGAGTTTTGTACCATGTTTGGGTATTACCTATTCTAAAAATAATTTTCTAAGGGCAGGCAGAAAAGAGAAGCCAGAAAAGTCAGGAAGATTGGTGGCCAGCAGTGTCCTATGACACTGGGGTCAAATCCCACGAAGACGAAAGTTGCTCTTGGGCTTAACAAAGAGGTCTTCAGCGGCCCTTCGCCGTTTATCTGGAGTCATGAGGTGGAAGGCAGGTTCAGGCTTTCACAGTTCCAGTACCGGCTGGCTGTGTGTTTAGGAGGGAGATTTGGGAAGGGGCATAATTTGAAGTTTAACCATTTTTCTTATACAAAACATTCGAAATTTAACTTAAAGATTTAGTATTAGAACAGGAATGGACTTTAGAGTTTGTTTATCTAACATCCTTATTTTTTGAGTAAGGAAACTAGATCCAGAGAAAGAAATGCCTCACTCGGATTAGTACTAGGGCCTGTCTAGCACCTGCCTCTCATGGGCTGGCCCCACCACTTCGCCTAGTCTGTGCTTCCGTTTCCTCCTCTGTAGGCAATAATTGTATATTAAAGATTTGTCTGCGAGCATCCAGTTACTATATGTAAAGTGCTCAGAACAATGCCGGTATATAGTCTACAGCGTGTGCTCACTGAAGGTTCCCTATCAACTTATGATTCGAGCCACCGTTCTTTCCAGTCTATTATAACCATGATTTTCTTTTAGAATTTTTTTCCGGAGGAGACCTTAGACCTTTAATTTACCAGTTTTTATTATATCCATTTCTTCCTAGACCAGGTGATAGGTTTGATCGAGACAGACCGCTGAGAGGACGTGGAGGCCCGAGAGGGGGCACGCGCGGCAGAGGCAGAGGTGGCCCCGGCAACAGAGTTTTTGACGCTTTTGACCAGAGAGGAAAGCGAGAATTTGAAAGATACAGTGGGAATGACAAAATGTAAGTGTCTTTGTAAATGCTATTTTCACTTTAAGATGTTGGCAGCACATGGTATGCATCTATTCTGCGTTAATATTTAGTTAACTTTCTAGTACTGTGCTGTTATTCCTGTGAGAAGCTGATCCTGGAATTTTCAGGAACCACTCTTCCTGATGTGGAGATTGACTGGAGACGAGCTTCTGGTTTACGGGACTTTTCTTTCTTTCCGTAGAGCAGTCAGAACTGAAGACAACATGGGTGGATGTGGAGTTCGAACCTGGGGATCAGGCAAAGATACCAGGTACGGTGTAAGTGTGTGCCCTCTGAGAACCTGCAATTAAGTGGAAATCTCTGGATCTTTGCTTTTCTTGAAAATGATGTCTTCCGTGTTGTGCTTTATACCTGTGTGCCCCTAACTAGAGACTGATTTTAGGCTTTTGTTTAGTGAGATAACTTTTTAAAACAAGTTTGCTATGTTGCAGTTAGATTTAAACTGCTTTTAAAATTCTGTAGCCAAACATATTTGTGACAGATGACCATGTATTTGCTGATGCCTCAAACATATGGCACTGTACATTTGCACATGCCTCAAAATACTTTTTGTTGGCTGCACACGGTGGCTCACGCCTGTAATCCCAGTACTTTGGGAGGCCAAGGCGGGTGGATCACTTGAGGTTGGGCGTTTGAGACCAGCCTGGAGAACGTGGTGAAACCGCATTTCTACTAAAAATACAAAAACTAGCTGAGCATGGTGGTGGGCGCCTGTAGTCCCAGCTTCCCAGGAGGCTGAGGTGGAAGAGTTGCTTCTGGGAGGCGGAGGTTGCAGTGAGCCGAGATGGCACCACTGCTTTCCAGCCCCGATGACGCTCTGAGCGAGACTCAGCATCTCAAAAAAACAAAAAAAACGTTTTTTGTTTTGTTTAATTTTATTATTCTTTAAAATAGAGATAGGATCTCACTATGTTGCCCACGCTGGTCTGGAACTCCTGGGCTCAGGCAGTCCTTCTGCCTCAGCCTCCCAAAGTGCTAGGATTACAGGCATGAGCCACCACATCTGGCCTGAAATGCTTTTTAAATTCCTGGATATTCTATATGTTTTTACCTTTCAAAGTTCATGTGGATCCTTGACACATCTTCATTTTATAAAATCATTTGTAGATTGAAGCTTAGTGATAGGTTTCACCTGAGGCTCAAGTTGGACATTTCTCTGAGGCTTCATGGTGCCTTAGATGTGTGCCAGTCCTGCTAGTTAGAGTGGGTACATGGTTCTGCTCTGTTTTATTTCACAGCTGGAGGGATGATGCCTTCCTGGTGTCTGCAGAAGAAGAGGTAGGGCACGCGGCAGGCAGCGCGGTGTGAGCAGTGCTACAGGGCAGGCTTCCCACTAGCGCCAAGGCTTGAGGGGATCCAGGCTTCCACTTTTCAGGCCTCCACTTTGAAGAATATAAGCTTTTTTTTTTTTGAGATGGGAGTCTTGCTCTGTCACCCAGGCTGGAGTGCAATGGCGTGATCTTGGCCCACTGCAACCTCCACCGCCCAGGTTCAAGCGATTCTCCTGCCTCAGCCTCCCAGGTAGCTGGGACTACAGGTGCACACCACCATGCCCGGCTAATTTTTGTATTTTTAGTAAAGACTGGGTTTCACAGCATTGGTCAGGCTGGTCTCAAACTCCTGACCTCAGGTCATCCGCCCGCCTCGGCCTCCCAGAGTGCTGGGATTACAGGCGTGAACCACCATGCTTGGCCAGAATATAAGCTTTTTACATGAACTTATTTTTCTTAAATTGTTGTCCTTAAAGACAAATGTATAAACTAATACCAAATGTAACAATGTTAGATTTACTACCATTGCTCATTTGTGTTCTCCTTGAAAAGAAGAGAAACTTGTTGAGTGTTTCTCTATCTGGGGTTCTGCAGGATCTTGATGACAGATCTTTTCATTTTGTTTTATTTTACTTTGATAATATATTTTAAAAAGTAATATAGGCACCACCTTCTTTCTTTTTCTTTTTCTTTTTCTTTTTTTTTGAGATGGAGTCTCGCTCTGTCGCCCAGGCTGGAGTGCAGTGGCCTGATCTCAGCTCACTGCAAGCTCCGCCTCCCGGGTTCACGCCATTCTCCTGCCTCAGCCTCCGGAGTAGTTGGGACTACAGGCGCCCGCCACCTCGCCCGGCTAGTTTTTTGTATTTTTTAGTAAACACGGGGTTTCACCATGTTAGCCAGGATGGTCTCGATCTCCTGACCTCGTGATCCGCCCGTCTCGGCCTCCCAAAGTGCTGGGATTACAGGCTTGAGCCACCGCGCCCAGCTTTTTTTTTTTATTGAGACAGAGTCTCACTCTGTCACCCAGGCTGGAGTGCAGTGGTGTGATCTCGGCTCACTGCAACTTCCACCTCCCAGGTTCAAGCAATTCTCCTGCCTTATCTTCCCGAATAGCTGGGATTATAGGTGCCCGCCACTACGCCTGGTTACTTTTTGTATTTTTAGTAGAGATGTAGTTTCACCATGTTGGCCAGGCTGGTCTCAAACTCCTGACCTCAGGTGATCCACCTGCCTTGGCCTTCCAAAGTGCTCAGATTATAGGCGTGAGCTACCATGCCTGGCTTGGGCACCTTCTTTCTTAATCATCAGATTTACCACCTTATCTAATACCACTACTTCATTTCCGTTTGCCTTTGAACTTAAAATCATTTTGGCTCTTAAGTGGTTACTTATCCTGGAGCTCCAGCTTTGGCCTTGTAATGTTAAGAGGTGACCACTTGTGCCCCTGGCAGGCTGGCATGTCTCGTTGTTAAAATGACATGTGCCCCATGGCACTCATTTTGGATTGGTTTGTGAGTTAGAAAGTCAAAGCTCTTTTTTTTTTACCCCCTCTCTCTCTAAGACAGGGTCTGACTCTGTTGCCTATGCTGGAGTATGGTGGCTCAGTCTTGGCTTACCATAACCTTGAAACCCCAGGCTCAGTTGATTCTTCCACCTCAGCTTCCCGAGTAGCTGGGACTACAGGCGCATTTTTTTTTTTTTTTTTTTTTTTTTTTGAGACAGAGTCTCACTCTGTTGCCCAGGATGGAGTGCAATGGCATGATCTCGGCTCACTGCAACCTCTCCTTCCCAGGTTCAAGTGATTCTCCTGCCTCAGCTTCCCTAGTAGTTGGGACTACAGGTGCATGCAACCATGCCCAGCTAAATTTTTTTTTTGTATTTTTGGTAGAGATGGGGTTTCACCGTGTTAGCCAGGATGGTCTTAATCTCCTGACCTCATGATCCGCCTGCCTCAGCCTCCCAAAGTGCTGGGATTACAGACATGAGCCACCACACCCGGCCTTTTTTGTATTTTTAGTAGAGATGCAGGTCTGCCATGTTTCCCAGGCTGGTGTCAAACTTCTGGGCTCAAGCAGTTCACCTGCCTTGGCTCCCAAAGAGCTAAGACTACAGGCGTAAGCCACCACACCCAGCTAGTCAAAGCTCTTAGGTGGTTAGAATTTGTAATGGGAAGCTTTTCTTAGAATAAGACTAATTTCTTAATAAATAGAGATAAATTTTATTTATTTATACATTTACTTCGTACATTTCTTAATAAATGGAGTAAGAAATTTATTTCTTAATAAATCAGCTTGAGGTCATGAAAATGATGCAGTGCGAAGGAGTTATGTGCTACTTTAGATTAGTGAGAAGAAAGTGGAGGTGAGCCTAACACAGTAAGTAATGGTTTGTGGCTGGCAAAGCCCAAGTGCTTTGCCGTGTATTAAAGGTGTAAGGGCTTTGCGGTAGTTTAGTATTCCTATTTGAAGACACTGACAGCAATAACTGGGTTTAAGGACAAAATGCCTTCAAACTGGTATGACTGCGCCATTTCAGTAATAATGCTTTTCTTCAACAGTTTGACAGCGCTAAAATAGAATTTTTTCTATTTATCTGTGCTGAAATATAATTTTTCCATCTGCAATAATTTAAAAAGTGTATCATATTATTGTTAAAATTGGAATAGACACCCATGAATGCAGTTTTCAATAATGCTGCCTTTCAACTTTTATTGTGACAAGCAAGACAGTTTTATTTGTTCTCAAAGCAACATTTGATGAAAATCTGTTTGTTGTCAGAGATTTGATTAAGTGTGAGGTCTGATTAAATTTGAACTAGGTAACAAAGCCTTGAAATGTGTAACATCATTTTATGGAACATACGTGCACAAGTAGGGATTTTCTGCACCAGCACAACTGAAGTCAAAATATAGACATGGGCCTTGGGGTTATATCTTCCTTCTGATAAATCCAACATTGGTGATTTACCTTTTTTTTTTGAGACGGAGTCTCACTCTGTTGCCAGGCTGGAGTGCAGTGGCACGATCTCAGCTCCCTGCAATCTCCGCCTCCCAGGTTCAAACGATTTTCCTGCCTCAGCCTCCCAAGTAGCTGGGACTGCAGGCACGTGCTACCACGCCCAGCTAATTTTTGTATTTTTAGTAGAGATGGAGTTTCATCATGTTGGCCAGGATGGTCTCAATCCCCTGACCTCGTGATCTGCCCGCCTCGGCCTCCCAAAGTGCTGAGATTACAGGTGTGAGCCACTGTGCCTGGCTGATTCACTTTCAACAAAATAGCAGAACCTGCCAAATCAATTGTGGCTAATTTTGAAACTTAATTGTCTTTCAGTTTTGATCATAGGGTTCTATAAGAGCTGTAGGCACAATATTTTATATTCATTTATATAATAATTTAGGTCATCGGGGGGGACATCTGTGATTTTTCTTTTCTGTAAAATCAGCTAATTGCTGAAGTTTAAGAAATACTCAGTTTTTTTGTGGTTCATGCCTGTAATCCTAGCACTTAGGGAGGCTGAGGCAGGTGGATCACTGGAGTCCAGGAGTTCAAGACCAGCCTGAGGAACAAAGTGAAATCCCATCTCTACAAAAAATACAAAAAATTAGCTGGACATGGTGGTGTGTGCCTGTAGTCCCAGCTACTCCAGAGGCTGAGGTGGGAAGTTCCCTTGAGCCCGGGAGGTCGAGAGCACAGTGAGCTGTGATGGTGCCACTGCACTCCTGCTACCATGCCTGGCTAATTTTTGTATTTTTAGTAGAGATGGGGTTTCACCATGTTGGCCAGGCTGGTGTCAAACTCCTGGCCTTAAGTGACCCACCCTCCTTGGCCTCCCAACGTGCTAGGATCACAGGCGAGAGCCACCTTGCTGGCCTGGAACCTTCATTTTAAAAAATAAAAGTTAATTATTCAAGTTTTGTTTTAAAGAGTGAGTTTTTAAAAAATTGATTACAGTAGCTTGGAGTTGAGAATTTAATAATTATTTAAATTGTAAAAGTTTTTTCTGTTATTGTAGTTCAATTTATGGTTTTTTTGTTTTTTTTTTTAAAACTTACTTTTAAAGCCCTCAATAGGCCAGGCACGGCGGCTCACACCTGTAACCCCAGCACTTTGGGAGGTCGAGGTGGGTGGATCACTTGAGGTCAGGAGTTCAAAACCAGCCTGGCCAACATGGCGAAACCCTATCTCTACCAAAAACACACAAAAAAATTAGCTGGGCGTGGTGGTGGACACCTCTAATCCCAGCTACTCAGGAGGCTGAGGGAGGAGAATCTCTTGAACCTGGGAGGGAGGTTGCAGTGAGCCAAGATTGCACCACTGCACTCCAGCCTAGGTGACAGAATGAGACTCAGTCTCAAAAAAACAAACAAACCAAACCAAAACAGAAAACAATGTTTTCTCCATCTTAAACATGCAAAGGCATTGGTGTGAACGTATTTGTGTGACTAGAGAGGGTCTTTCTGTTTTTCAGTGACGTGGAGCCGACTGCACTGATGGAGGAACCCACAGTGGTGGAGGAGGCCCAGGGCGCCCTGGAAGAGGAGTCTCCAGCCAA